ATGGAATATGCTGCTCTTTTCATTTGGACCTGCCAGGCACGGTATGCCCCGTATTGCCAGCTTGAGTAACCAGTTAGAGAGTGGTAACTGCAGAATTTCTTTAAGGATGTTAATCTTTTCACAAACATATGACCTCTTTTATATCATTAATTTTTGTTTTATTTCAGGCATAACAGGCCCAGGCACCGCAGCCACCGCCAGAATTAAAGGTAAAGCATGTCAGAATCAGTTTTTGTGATTTCACTGTTAGATGCGCACTTAAAGTTACAGTCGTTATTGTCAGCTCTGATAAGCAACTTTTCAATTATGACAACACTTAATACCCTGTTGTCTTTTCTCTTTGCCGTTTTGTTCCTTTGGAAGTAAAATTTCAAGTGTTTAGATGCTATTACAACAAAAAACGGAAAGAAAAATCCAAGTTGTGATGCTGTGAAGATCTAATTAAGCGAATAAGACATCTATCATACAATTTTGTATGGAATACAAGGCTTCAGTAACAAAGCCTTCTCTTTTTTGGCAGATTTATCAGAAGAAAACAAAACTTTAAAAGAACAAATGGAAAATTTAGAAAAACAAAACGAAAATTTAAAAGAAGAAGACAAAAACTTCAAAGGCACTGCTATTTTGTGCCATTGCCAACAGCCCATACATGTACTCTCACTAGAGAAAAAAGGTAACAAATCCTAATTACCTAACTTGCCAACTTGTTTTTGATGTTTTTTTTTACCATTAGGATTCCTTAATAGCACTCTTGCCACAATATTAAAAGTTGTCTCAAAACGTCTGAGGTTCAAGAGTAGGCGTTTGATAAATTAAGGAGGTGGAAAAAAAGAGAGAGGCGCAAATTCTCGAAGCTGCTGTAACAAACTCAACAAAACTACCACGCTTCTGCTGGGAATACCAAAATGAGAACATACCGAAAATTCAAAACAATAGAAAATCACAAATGTGAGGATTACATACGCCAGATCAATAATACTAGTTATTATTCCTTTAATAGTCCCTTTTTGTTAGTAATATTAATTAATTCTGGTAATGTTGTCTACTAGTTATTATTTCTTAACTATTTCATTTTGGATAGTAATATTAATTTTTTGTGGTAATATGGTCTACTAGTTATTACTACTTTACTATTCTATTTTTGCTAGTAATATAAATTTTATGTGGTAATATTGTCTACTAGTTATCATTCCTTTACACTTGCATTTTGGGTAGTAATATTTATTTTTGGTGGTAACATTTTCTACACGTTATTCGTTTCCTGTTACATTTTTTATAGCACTATTATTTTTCTGAGCTAATAGTGTCAACTAGTCATTATTCCTTTACTACTCCCTTTCCGGTGGTAATAGAAATTTTTTGTGGAACACAAACAGAGTGAATCTGTTACCTTTTAAGATCTCTACCTCTTGCTGACTGTCCTCTGGTACTAACTGTTGTTGCTGTGTTTGCTTCTGCAAAAAGAAGATCGATATGGATATCGATACGATATCGATCGTCGCATGGTAGTCTAGTTACTCATTAGACCTTTCCACGTTTTTTTCCAACTTTTGACAGACAAGTTAAGGAAACTCCGGCAATACCACTAGAAAGAGCATCTTAAAATTAGTCTAGGGTCTCGGTTTAGAGAGTCGGACAACACAGCCCCACAACAAACTCCTGAGGAATACCCCTCTGATTTGTCGGTTTTGATAGTCATCATTTTAAGACTCAGCAATCCTGGATGGGTACAACCTTCTTTGCCCAATATGTATTGGTGCGAGTGTGAGTGTCTGGGGTCAGGATTTAAACAGTAGGACGGCACACCCCACAACGAATTGCTAGAAATCCCCACCCCCTTCGGGCGAAAAAAATTGACAGCATTTTATCAACTGGGCCGCCTCCAGCAACCCCAGTTAATCTATGGAATGGCCTGCCCAATGAGAACAGGGCAAAGCAAAGCCTAGCCGCCTTCAAGGAGGGACTTAAAAAAGTGATAACTCAGATGCAATTATTGTAAATAAATAGAAAAGTAGCTATTGAAACATTGCAAATAGTAAACTGTAGATAGAAACCTGTAAATAGTAAAACATAAATAATTTTGTGCAAAGTTAGCTGGGTAAATGTTTTTAGTATCTTTTCGTCACGACAATTTATTTAGTCTGAGTTATATTATAGAGCTCTTGCCTCTTCGTGCCCCACCTATGGTAATTTTGAGGGCACAGAAAGTAGCAACTTTTAAATTCACCTCTTTTTTTTTTTTTGCACGCCATCTCGTTCGAGAGGATACAGAAGCGGAAGATAGTGATGGTGAAACGGCTTGCCTTTTTTATCAATGAAAAAGAATCGATTTAATAGATAATACTACAATCAATTTTATTCTCTCTTCTCAGTTTTCTTGATCTCTGCACAATACTACCTAATGGAGTGGCTAATGAAAGCCAATAAACTTTAGTTGCCTTTTAACAATCAAAACAACTTCTCTGCAACAGCTTCTTTGAGAGACAAAGATTCAAAGAAAAAAAAAACTACCCGTGAACAAAAGAAAAACAAATCTTTTTTTATCAACATCTTCGTCGTTGGTTAAACATTTATTTTTTTGTCGTGAAGGTGCTGAACATGGGTAGCAACATTCCCTCAACCTTCAAGAGATTACTTCCGCAGACAGCTACTACAACTTCTTTATCGTGCTAAAGACATTACTTCTAAGGTCAACTCTTCAGAGCAATAATTCAAGAAATTTTATACAATTGCTGATATGCATTATTGTGTATTTGTTTAAGTATTTTTATGTGTGTCATAGGTGTTACTATTTATCAAACCTATGTGGAAGGATGAGAAGAAAGCAGTCGCTTTTTGGGCTGAAAAGCTTAAAAAGTCCGCCATAACATTAGGAAGTATAATCTTGGTAGGTGACAAGAATTTACAGGAATATCAACTTATGAGCTCCACGAGGGCGCGACCAACTCTTCTAGATAAAAGGACTGATAAAGGACTGACGCATCTGCATCCTCTTCATTACTTTATTATTCCATTTCTCATAGCAATATTAACTTTTGGTTTTTAGCTATGTGACTTGATTTAGAAGAATACTTGAAATAGCAACAAGAGCAAAGCGTTGACATCTATTAACTCAGCACTAAGGAACAAGCCATCTGCAAACAATTAAAAGTAGAGAGGACTATAGACCATCATTAAAATAAAAGGGACAGACCATCATTCTCTCAGCCTATTTCAATCTCCTTGTTTCACACGCCAACAATCAGGAGAATTTTTTTCCCAAGTAATTCACCCAAAAGCTAGGAGAATGCATCAAAACCTCCATAAACAAACATTTAAAGAATATGAAGTATGCTGCTTGTTTTATTTGGACCCATCAGGTACAATAGCCCCTTATTGCCAGCTTGAGTACCCAATTGGAGAGCCGTACCTGCAGAATTTGTTTTAAGCATGTTAATCTCTTCGCAGGCATAAGTAGGATTAGAAGAGAGAATTTTTATCCAAAAGAAAGTTTCAGGGACCAAAAGTAAGAGAAAAAAGGTTGGAAAAAAAAAGTACAAAAGTCAGACAAGGAAGGCTGCTATTAAAACACGGGAAAGAAAAATCCAAGTTGGGAACCTGTGAATATCTAATTAAGGGAATAAAACATCTCTAATACAAGTATGTACGGAATACTAGGCTTCACTAACAAAGGCTTCTTTTATTTTTGCAGATTTGAAAGAACCAAACAAGAAATTAAAGGAAGAAATGGAAAATTTAAAAGAGGAGACTGAAAATTTAAAGGGACAAAATGAAAATTTAAAACAAGAAAACAAAAAATTAAAAAAGAAAGCACAATCAAGAGTTAAAAGGAGATATGCATATCACAGAGAGCTCTAACAGCAGTAGTAGTGACGAGTGAAGGAAGGATTTATTTATTTGGACCCGTCAGGCACGATAGCCCCTTATAGGCAGCCTGAGTCGCCAATTGGAGAGAGGTACCTGCAGAATTTGTTTTAAACATGTTAATCTTGTCGCAGGCATAAGCACTTTGAAGAGACAAGTTTTATCCAAAAGAACGTGTCAGGGAACAAAAAGATGAGAAAAAAAGTTGGAAAGAAGAAGGAACAACAAAGGTTCTACTCCCCTTTAGGGGAGAAACACCTTAAAACCCGTATTGTAATCAGGGGGGTTTAAGAACCATAAACCCTGCGAATATTAGACAAAGGTAATTTCTCTAAAAATAACACACTTGTCAAGGCTTAAGCAAAGTATTTATATAGGCCAAGTTAACTTTCTATACAGCGGTTTTAATTCCCTTTGGGGAACAAAAAACTGAAAAGCTGCATAGTTATCAGAAGAAGGGTTATGAATACCAAACCTCTTCATATATTAGACAAAGGTAGTTTATCTAAAAATAGTAGACTTGTCAAGTCTTAAGAAAACCACTTTTCGGGCTTAAAAGCTCGAAAAGCAACTGCACAAGAAAGGGATGTTTCCTTTGTCTGTAGACAGAGGCCGCCATAACATTTGGAAGTATGATCTTGGTAAGTGACAAGAATTTGTAGCAATGTGAACTTATAAGATCCACGAGGGCGAGACGAGCTCCTCCAGTTTAAACAATGAAGAATGGTCCTAGAAGTAAGGGGAATGGACAGGCCTGACGCCTCTACATGCTCTTCTGTGCTAAGCGACTAAGGGACAAAGAAAAATCGCCATTGCAAGTGGAAAGAGTCCGCCATAATATTAAAAAATTCAACTGTGAATATATAGCAGTGTGATCTTATGATGTCCACGAGGGCAAGATCAAATCCTCCAGACAAAAAACAGTGAAGAATAGTCGAACAAAAAGGGGGACCGGGAAGGCATGTCCACTCTGCGGTTGTGAACTTCTGTGCTTTTCCCATCCGAACAAAAATTTTTTGAAAACAAAAATCTGTTTTAAAAATACTTCATTTTGAGGAGGAGGATACCTACAGCCCACAGACCAAAGCATATGCACCTTCCTTACAGAATATTAAAGTGTTAATTGTATTTGAGTACACGACAAGAGGAAACCGGCTATTGTTGGGCCAATGGTCTGGTGGGGTCGGCACGAAAGAGGGAGCTCTCTCAAAGGAGTTACTCTGCTAGATCGACGTTTCTCTAAATATAAATTCCACTGCTATTGAAAGGACTATTGATATTGACTTGTTTGACTATTGCTATTAACTTGTTTAAGTACTTGGGAGTTGTTGTAAACCAAACTATATCTTGGTCCGAGCACACTGATACTATCAGTACAAAGTACGGGTTTGGTTGTAAAATGTATTTCTCTATCATTGTGACTGTCTTATTTTTGTCTGCAGTCTGCACTTTACCTAGAGGATTTGCATTTGATGGCAATCCTAATTAACGCATTTGTTTAAAGTCCAAGAGATTCTGCCTTAATCTCCGTGACTGCTCGTTTACTTTCACGTGAAGTTCTAAATACATGAAAATCATTTATGTGAACGGCGGGATGAACAATAGTATGAAGGTAGATCATTGCAGTTATAGAAGCAACCTTTGCAGTTGCGAAAAGAAAACCTGAAAAAAAATTCACCCTTGAACGCAATGTGAACCCTTGACCTCAGCGATACCGGTGCAGTGCTTTTACCAATTGAGCTAACAAGACAACTGGGAGCAGGTCGTTGAATTGGTTTGTTATAGACCGGTGAAAGGATGATAAAGCTAATTAGCTATGCTAACTGCAGTTTGTCAATGTTTCCAATACGTCCTTATGGGAAAAGTCTAAGATTTGGTGATTTAACGTCATTACTTTTAACTTTATTTCATTTTATTTAGTTAGGCGTCTTGTGCCTAGGTAAAATATAAAGAGAAATGACAGTCTTGACACAACCTTTACAGCCAATTAAAAAATTAGTTACTCTTCAATAACCAACACAACACCCCACAACAAATTGCTAGAAATCCCCCCCCCTTCGGGAGAAAAAATTGACAGCATTTTATGAACAGGGCGCCTCCAGCAAGCCCAGTTCATCTATGGAATGGCCTGCCCAATGAGATCAGGGCAAAGCAAAGCCTAGCCGTCTTCAAGGAGGGACTTAAAAAATTGATAACTCAGATGTAATTATTGCAAAATAAATAGAAAAGTAGCTATTGAAACATCGCAAATAGAAAACTGTAGATAGAAACCTGTAAATAGTAAAACGTAAATAATTTTGTGCAAAGTTAGCCGGATAAATATTTTTAATATGTTTTCGTCACTACTATTTATTTAGTCTGAGTTATATTACAGAGTTCTCGCCTCTTCGTGCCCCACTAATGCTAATTTCAGAGGGCACAGAAAGTAGCAACTTTTCAGTTCACCTCTTATTTTTTTTTTTTTTGCACGCCATCTCGTTCGAGAGGATACAGAAGGGGAAGAAAGTGACAGTGAAACGGGTTGGGTTCTTCATCAATAAAAAAAAATCGATTTAATAGATAATAATACTACAATCAATTTTTGCGCTGCACATGGGTAGCAACATCCCCTCAACCTTAAAGAGATTTCTTCCGCAGACAGCTACTACAACTTCTTTATCGTGCTAAAGACCTTACTCAACTCTTCCGAGCAATAATTCAAGAAATTTTATAAAATTGCTGATATGCAATGCATTTTTTAGTATTTTTATGTGTGTCATAAGTGTTACTATTTATCAAACCTATGTGGAAGGAAGAGAAGAAAGCAGTCCGCCATAACATTAGGAAGTATAATCTTGGTAGGTGACAAGAATTTACAGGAATATCAACTTATAAGCTCCACGAGGGCGAGACGAACTCCTCTAGATAAAAGGACTGATAAAGGACTGACGCATCTGCATCCTCTTCATTACTTTATTCTATTTCTCATAGCAATATTAACTTTTGGTTTTTAGCTATGTGACTTGATTCACAAGAATACTTGAAATAGCAACAAGAGCGAAACATTGACAACATTTATTAACTCAGCACTAAGGAACACGTCATCTGTAAACCATTAAAAGTAGAGAGGACTAGACCATCATTAAAATAAAAGGGACAGGCCATCATTCTCTCAGGCTTTTTCAATCTGCTTGTTTCACACGCCAACAGTCAGGAGAATTTTTTTCCCAAGTAATTCACACAAAATCTCGAAGAATGCATCAAAACCTCCATAAAAAGACAATTTATGAGAATATGGAGTATGCTGCTTGTTTTATTTGGACCCATCAGGTACGATAGGTCTAACAAGCTTACATACAATACACACATGTGCAAACTTCATTTACTCTTAAATTACAGAGTAGCTTACAGGGGTGTTTGTTACGAAGATGACAGTTCTCCTTAAAGAACTCAGAGAGAAAATTGGAAGAAGTTTTGAGGTCATGCAATACTGAGACTAATGAAAATTTCCAATGACATTTACCATAAATCTCGTTTTAGTACTCTTTGAACTCTTGTCAACATTCATTTCTAGAGATTTTGGATTATACACCACTAAAAGCGACAATCAACTTTTTATTAAAGGCTGCCTTCACGACTACTACAATGCATCTTTTCAAACAGTCCATAGACTTAAACGTCACTTTTATTTTACTTTTTACAATCTTACCACAATATTAACAGCAAAAAGTGGCATCCAAACCTTTGAGGCTATATTTCAATCTCCTTGCTTCCCATGCCAACACTCACGACAATTTTTCAACAACATCTACCTCTCAACTTTAAAATTTCTTAATATGTAGCTTCAATCAGAACTGTCGTTTCAGGCTTTGCAATAAAAAAACATGAAGCTGGAAATGTTGTTTTAGCTTTCACTGCAAAGCAGCTGTTCACCAAACTAGTATAGACAACCAAGGCTGCTCCAATTCATCTTTTGCCTTGCTTTACTTTGAGCCCCATTCAATTTTCAATGTTCACCTTGTACTCCTGTCAATTTTCAATTAAAAGACTCCGGGCCACTGTAGATTTTTTATTTTGTGTCCTTGCCAAAAGCCCATTCGTGTACTGTGACATGCATTATACTTTTCACTATGGACATCTTTACACAACCTTTACAGCCAATAAACATTAGTTTTCCTTCAATAACCAAAATAATCTCTCTGCAACAGCCCCTTTGGAATACAAAGATCCAGAGAATTAGGGGAACTACTCAATAAACAACCAAATCCTTTTCTTATCAACATTAAATAGAGACGAAATTGAAACACAACAAATGGAAAAAAATACAAGAGAAAGAGAAACATGTAATTGATCACAAGCATTACAAGGCCTAACAAGCTTACATACAATACATACATACGCAAACTTTATTTACTCTTAAATTCCAGAGTAGCCTACAGGGGTGTTTGTTACAGTTTAAAATTGACCAACGTTTTAAACATTACTATTGACCATTGCAATTTTCGTGAAACTGTTCAAACCTTAAGTGACGAGGCGAGTAATTCTACTTCATTAATAATGTCGTTTTTCTTATTTATATTTATTAAACTATGAATTTCTGGTGCTCCAGTGTGGCAAAGTTTCTTAGTGGATAATTAAGTCATTTCCATCCATTACACATTGATAACACCTTTGTTGTTTTTCAGATAAATTATAGTTTTGTGTTTTTTTTTGTTGCTGTATGCTTATTGTAGTTTAGTTTTGAATGTAATTACCTGTTTGGTTTGTACAATTACTACAGCCTTCTCCAGCTTTTCTTATTTTTTTTTTTAAACAACTCTATCTATTTCTTCCATCATGCAGTTCTATATTGTGGAGATAAGAAAAAAAGTATTACTCAATTTTAAGTCTTTAAAGACTTTCAATCAATTGAAACGTATGTACATCAACTGACACTCCCTGATATTTCCTTGTTTCTAGAAAAGTACCTGCCACCGCCACCAGTAAATTGGTCCAAATAATTGAATTGGATTCCGAGGAGTATAGCGTTATGTAATGATGATGACTTGTCTATTCTAGAAGGTACCATAACGGAAAACCCATGGATTAGGGTGAGGTTAACATTCAAACTTGCAGTCATGGGATCGGGACCCTTTAATTTCTTATCCTATTATGACAAGGAGTCGAGCCTTTTTAGGTTTAAAACTTCAACACAATCAGCTGGAAATAGGTTGTGCAATGTATCAGCAAACTATTTTATTTCATGATGATGTTCAGAATACATAATATTTTTCCCTTGCTAAATAGGCCCTCTTCCCTCATCAAATGCAATGATATAAATAACAAGCACTCATACAAAAACTCAAAGTTTGAGTGCACTAGCACAAAGATTTTTGATCTGTTTTAGGCGGCCGCGAAAAGCTAACCTGCCATTCAGCGCTTTTAGAACACATGCTCAAAATGCTCAAAAGTGGGTCTCACACGGATCGCTAAGCAAGAATTGGTTTGTTATAGACCGGTGAAAGGATGATAAAGCTAATTAGCTATGCTAACTGCAGTTTGTCAATGTTTCCAATATTGTTCTTTTAAAGGAATAAACAGTGTTGTTATTCCTGGTTTGTTGTTGTTAAGACTTTAAAGGCAACAGCAGTAAAAACCACCACCAAAACAACGGGAAGACCTGAAGCAAGAGAAGGAGGTAAAGTACACAGTTACACAATCCACGAGTTCGCTTTTAGTTGGAAACGTGACATAAAAATAACTCACATAAAGTGAATTCACAACAACAATGAATTCCAACAGCAAACTCAACAACATGAGTGACTTTCTCTGAGTTTGTGTAGTTTCCCAATGACATTCACCATTAATCTCCTCTAGAGTTTTTGGATCATACACTATTACTTGAATGTTTACCTTTTTACACAAAGGCTGCCTCCTCTCCTTCACTTACACTATTATGTGTCCTTTTAACATTAAATAGATGTACTCTTGACTTGAAGTTCTTGAAATATAGAGGCATTAAATCTTTTTCTGTTGCTACTTTTATTTTTTTTGTCACCATAATCTTCTGCCTAGCGGCTTCCGTAATCTCATTTCAAAAGAAGTATACATATCCATCATTACGAAACACAACTAGCCTCTTAACATAGACCGTATGTTTAAAGACCGAATACCAAGCAATTAAGTGTCCTCTGTGGCTGCCCTCAAAAGTCGTACTTGGCATCCGAAGGAGTTTCGTTGTTATTCACAAGAAAAAAGAGAAAAACTTGAATCGTCAGATCTTTCCTTTATCTCCAAATAATCTTTAGCTCTTCAGTTCTTCAGATAACAACTTGGTCTGCCTTACACGATACGGCTGAGCGAAGGATTACATGGATTGTAAACCTAAATCACACATGTGATAAACAAGAACATGGCGGCAACTAGCACGAGTCCTAAGCAAAATGGTAACAACCGCTGACCATAAATACTGAAAACTCCTTACTACAGCACCACTGTAGTAACATGGCTCCTCAACTGCATGTCATGCAGTTAAGACAAAACAATAAACCTACATGAGTCCCTAAGGCTAAACGTTCAACAAACTATCAGTTCGATACTCAAACAGTAGAATCTCGAAAGCTCAAGTCATTGATCGGCAACAGCGAATGAATGTTAAATGAGTTAATCAAAATCAAGTGTTCACTACAGTGTTCATTGACAATGAAACCTTTGCAACGTCTTTCAATTGTTCTTCGTTGGCTCCTCGATGGGGACTTCCCTGGTCTCCTCGTGAAAGACATCTTCCTGGAACACTTCATCTGCAGTCAACAATAGAACGAGCTTGTGTACAGGTCTGTCTAAATATGATGGTGGGCGTTGGAGTTTGCCACTATCATCCAAATTCCCGTCTGCCATCAGCAACCTGACCTTTCTGACATATCCGTCGTCACTTGGGTACACCTGCACTACTTTGCCAAGTGGCCACTTGTTGCGCGTGCTTTCACTTTCCTTAGAGATGACTATATCACCAACAGCAAGGTTTCTCTTAGGCTGGACCCACTTTTGCCTGACTTGTAACATTTGAAGATACTCTGCCCGCCATCTCAGCCAGAATTCATTTGCAAGATACTGTACTCTTCTCCAACGTCTACGACAATACATATCGGCTCTTTGAAACTTTCCTGGGGGCGGTAGCACTCTTTTAGGTTTCATAGTAAGAAGATGGTTAGGAGTCAACGGCTCTGGCGCTTCTGCATCACATAAATTATCGACGCTGAGGGGTCTTGAATTAATAATGCACTCGACTTCTGTCAAGAGTGTTCGCAATGTCTCATCATCAAGTTGGCTGCCAGCTTGTAACAGTAGTGGTTCAAGTGCGTTGCGTACACTACGAATCATACGTTCCCATGTCCCGCCCATGTGACTAGAATGGGGTACGTTCAACTTGAATGGAATCCACTCGCATCCATTCCTTAGCAAATAGTCTTGAACATGATCTTGATTCATCTCACATAATGCTGCTTTCAGTTCACTTCGTGCACCAATGAAATTTGTCCCTTGGTCGGACCTCAGTTGTCTCACAGCACCTCTCCGATTCATGAAACGTCTCAATGCATTGATAAATGAAGAACTCTCCAATGAATTGGCAGTCTCTAGATGAACACTTCGTGACCCCATACATGTAAACAATACTCCATAGCGTTTAACTTCACTTCTTCTCTCTTTGACAATGAACGGTCCAAAGTAATCAACGGCACAAAACGAAAAGGGAGGGGCTGGTTCAAGTCTGTCGTCAGGAAGGCAGGCCATCTTCTGCTGCTCAGTGGGCCTACGTAGTCGTCTACATGTCACACAACTCGATATAAACCTCGCTACTTTTGATGAACCATTGATCAACCAATAGCCACTTTGCCGCAACTCGTTATGCGTCATACCACGACCCATATGGTTCACTTTGAGATGGTGATGTTGAATCAACAGTTCAGTCAAGTGTCCTTTTCGCGGAATAATGACTGGATGCTTCAGATCAACTGGTGTATCTGCTCTTCTGATACGACCACCAACACGGATTATGCCATCATGGTCCACAAACGGATCCAGTTTGTACAGCGAACTGGTCTTTCGTAACGCTTGGTTCCTCTTTCTGGCTTGGTTTCTGTTTGTTTCTCCGTTGGTTACATTTAAGTCGCAGAGAATTTGAAGTTCCTCACGGAAATGTTCGTACTGCAAACATCTGATGATGGTCTTCTCTGCCTCCTGAAGCTCTGGAAGTGTAACTCTCAGTATTGACTTCTCAACTTCTGTACTTGACCTTGTTACTGGACTCTCGGGTTTCTTAATTTCCCTTCTTTGAAGCTTGGACTTCAGACGTAAACATAGAGCTATGACCTTTATAGCACGGTACCAGCTAGATACACCATCTAGTCTGCTTGTTTCAAATTGATCTGGAAATGGAGCAACACTTCTGACCTTCGTGGTCAAAACAGACACTTTCTTCACCTCCGGGTCAGAGTCTTGAAGGCGAGGCAGCTCCACGTTTTCTGGTTCACAGGGTCCGCTTCTCCACAAGAATTCTGGACCAGTTAACCACAGAGATCCTTCAACCAGCTGCCTTGCGGTGAGTCCTCTTGATGCTTCGTCTGCGGGGTTGTTGTTTGTGTCTACGTAAAACCATGCGTTGGGATCGGTTAGGTCTCGGATTTGCTGCACTCTGTTAGCAACATAAACGTGAAACCTCTTGGCTTCATTGTTAATGTATCCGAGAACTACTCGGCTATCCGTCCAGAAGAACTCTTTCATCTCCGGGTACTCCAACTCATTTCTCACGAACTCACTCATTCTTGCAGAGATGGTAGCAGCGGCTAACTCCAGCCTTGGAATAGTCTTGTGTTTAAGGGGGGTTACCCTGGCTTTTCCGACGATGAAGGAACAATGAGCTTGATCGAGTTCGTTAATCAATCTTAGATAACAGCATTGACCATAACCTTCCACTGAAGCATCTGAAAAATAGTGGACCTCCACTGCTTTCACTGGGCCAAAGTTGTCTGGCTTGAAACATCGCTGTATCTCTAGTTTCTCCAACTGTACGATTTCTCGCCGCCACTTTTCCCACTGTGGGTGTAGATACTCTGGAACAGGGCTATCCCAATCCAACTTGTCTTTGCACATCTGCTGAAGAATCTGTTTACCTCTGAGTGTAACAGGGGCCAGGTACCCATTAGGATCATAAATGGAGCCAATAGTGGACAATACACCTCTTCGAGTTAAAGGGCGATCATGAAGTTCAATCCGGAACCGGAAACTGTCACTTTCAGCGCACCACATCACGCCTAGAGCTCTTTCAATAGGTAATGGATCTACAGCTAAGTTCAGTTCCTTTATTTCCTTTGAATGGTCATCAACCGGAAAGGCTTCAAGAACTTCTTTCTTGTTCGAGACTATTTTATGTAATCTGAGACAAGCCTTGCTACAAATTGCTTGACTGGCCTTGATTAACTGAATGGCTTCGGGTACCGTTGATACAGATTTTAGTCCATCATCTACGTAGAAGTCCTTGCGTATGAACGCCGCAGCATCTGTACCAAACTCTTCTTCGCCATCGTCAGCTGCTCGCCTAAGCCCAAAGTTGGCGCAACCTGGGGAACTGCTGGCACCAAACAGGTGAACTTTCATACGATAGTCGATTACTTCCTTTGATGGGTCCCCATCCAACCACCAAAGAAAACGTAACAGATCTCTGTGTTCTTCAGCAACCACGAACTGATGGAACATGCTCTTGATGTCCGTCATAAATGCAACGCTTTCCTTGCGAAAACGACACAAGATACCCAACAGA